GGTTGTGGTTGTGGTTGTGGTTGTGGTTGTGGTTGTGGTTGTGGTTGTGGTTGTGGTTATGGTTGTGGTTGTTGTTGTGGTTGTTGTTGTGGTTGTGGTTGTTGTTGTTGTTGTTCTTGTTCTCGCTGCTGTAGTTGTAGCAGAAGTAGAGTTATTGTTATTCTTCCTTCTTCTTCTTAGTACTGCATTCTTCAGATTTTCGGGCTTAGTTTCGTCCTGTTCGGGAGTGATGTGCTGTCTTGGCAGGTCATCGGCGGAGCAGCACGCAAAGCCCAGAAGATGTCGTTCGCTGCCAAGCCATTGCCAACGGCCAGGACTTGTCGCTTTGATTTTCGAGCGTTTAGGCTTTAGGACTTTAGGATGATCAAGAGCCACACACACACTTCATTCAGAGCTTCGAGCTCCAGACCACAGAAGCCTAGAGGCTCAAACCACTGCAGTGGCCGCGCTTCAGTTCAGGCTGCCGACCCCGGAAGACGAGGTTGAAGTCTTCTCAACTTGTGGTTAGACGACGTAGCTGGGCTCGACCTGAAGAACTTCATGTTGCATGGTCGAGCCTACTCGATCATCAGTTACTTGGTGGTTTTCTCCTTCAGACGGATTGAAGCTTTTCTCTCCTCTGGCTGCGACTCTGTCGCCAAGCGTTACCAGCTGAACATCTCACAGTTCCTGGGACTGTCCCGACGTGTCTTGATTCACCAGGAAGACCTTGGTCAAACCGAGCGTGCAGCCTTTGCATCCCTCGTGCACGCCGTGATAGAGCGCAGACAGGAGCTGGTGCTGCCCGACGTTTGTCCTTGTGCCGTCGTGGCTGCTGCTGCTGCCCGCATGGGCATGGAAATGTACCTCTTCGAGAACAGAGCTGCGCACACGAACCATGAGCATGTCAAATCGTTTCACCGCTTTGCGCTTCTTCAGCGCTCAATGACAGAAGCGTCCGCAGAATGCCTGGACAACGAGGCTCGCTACTGGCCAGTCAGCCAGGCTGTGGATGTTCTTCTGAAGGCGCACAGCTCCATGATGGAACGGGTGCAGAGCATGAAGGACTGGCTGGTGGACTCCCAGGAGACCACGATCACAGACGAGCAGCATATAGAAGCGCTCGCCGATGCGGCTGCAGTCTTTGATTCGGAAGGACTGGAGTGGTGGCCCTGCAGGGGAACACTTATTGCTTTGCTCCGGCATGGCAGGCGGAGTGGCTTGCTTTCGAAAGGCAGGTTGGATGTCGTTGATCATGATGTTGATGTTATGGTGGGTATCCAGTCCCATGAAGAATGGACTCAAACGCGATTCTCGGTTGCTCGGAAGCTGTCGGAGCGAGGCTGGACCAACTGCTTCGAACGGTATTCTGTAAGTGCTCCACAGCTCAGCGACCAGTACTATCTTGCGCGTGGGGACCTGTTCTTGTGCACCAGAACGAGCCCCAAAGTTACGCTGGACATTGCGACCTACATTGTTGAGGGTCCCATTGCTTATGCACAGAAGTACTGCCTTCCCGGTGCGCTGTCCGGATCCGGGTTCGGATGCTGGCTCCCTCAGAACGATGGCACCTTCCGTGGAAGCCGAGGACGACTGCGAGTTTCGGCCATCCGTCCTCTCGGACGCTGTAAGGCCGGACACCTCTCTGTCCCCTGTCCACGAAAGCCACTGGAGACCCTGCGTGCCACGATGATCGTGAACTTTACCAGCAGCTGCGTGGCATTGCCTGACATCAAACAGCGCCGCGATCGCGACCTCTATGACAGCGACAGAGACTCATGGCTGTCCGAAGGCTTGATGCCGGAGGATGTGGATATCTTGACAAGTCGGGCTGCTGATCTCGACAGGGACGGCTACCTCTCAATGACCCCGTACCTGCACTGTTCGGAGCAGGCTTTTGCTTAAGGACTCGATCTTGCTTCTGGACACATACGAAGGACTCGATCTTGCTTCTGGACACATACGAGCGCTCGAGTGGCCAAGTGCTTGACGTGCCCGGTCCGCAGACATTGACTGCCAACTACCGTCCGTTCTAAACCCTTTACAAGATAACCCTCGCAAGACTCTAAAACATAAACCCCTACATCCTCGCCTAGGTTCGTCCGAGTGTGAGTGCTGAAACCCCTAAACCCTAAAAACCCTAAACCCCTGAACCCCTAAACCCTCAATGATGTAAACCACACAGCATCTGACCAGAGGGGCCTGAAGATGCCTTCTGGAGCTAAGTCGTTTTTTTTTCTATTTCCTTGTGAGTTAGGGGTTTAGGGGCTTATAGGGGTTCAGGGGTTTTAGTGGTTTAGGGGTTTTAGGGGTTCAGGGGTTTAGGGGCCTATAGGGTTTTAGTGGTTTAGGGGTTTCCGGTCTGAGCTCTCATGCTCTCCGTCTGAGCAGGACCTCTTCTGATAGCCTTCGGTTTGAAACTTGGAGTTTGAGGCTTGGGTCTCTTGGTTGAGGGATTTCCAAAAAAATAAGGTGCAGGCATGAGGGATTTGCAGAGCCTTTTCAGGTGTCCGGCTGGCGAGACTCTCCAGGAAGCCCTGGGCCTCCAGAAGGAAGGCTCTCGTCGAGGATTTGGGGCTTCTCTGATGTCGGATCTCCGATGGAAGTAAGCAAGGGGGGGCCAGAAGCTATGGTAGAAGGTAGCTTTCTGCTCAGTATTGCTAGCTGGCCGAACGTTCCTGCTTACGAGCCAGCTTCGAAGCCACGCGACCTTGGTAGCAAACCCTGACTCCATGCCGGTGACACTCTGAAGACAAGGCCTCAGGACACCTGCTTCGGTGATCGCCAGCATGAAGAGATGCTGAATATAGAGGCGATCATCAGCGAAGTAAAGTCGAAAGGTATCCTAGTGTGGAGGTCAGGTGCTGCTGCCGGGGCTGGCCCTGACTATAAACACGCTTTTTCACAAGTCCCACTTAGGAGCAATGTCTCACAGTGCTCCTTAGGTGCCTGTTTTGGCCGAGGGCTCGTAGGTCATGGAAGTGGAGCCCTGAAAGATGCCAGTGAGCTCTGTCATGGCGAGGGTCGAAAATCTGCACCTTGAAGGCTACGCAGGAAGTCAGTTAGGGTTCAGAGTTTAGGGATGATGGCATACTGTGGTGGTTTAGGCCGTCTAAGGCCTTTAGAACTTATACGTAGGAGTTAGGGTCGCATTGTACGATGGGTGCGGACGGAGGTTCCCGACAGTCCGGTCAGATTGTTCGAAAATCTGGATGTGGGAAGTTTCGTGATGCTGAGAGAGACACAGAGAGAGAGAGAGAGGTAGGGGTGACAACCCTCCTACCCATAACCCTGCCGAAAGAAATAGAGAGAGCGAGAGCGAGCGAGTGAGTGAGAGATCTATCTATCTATCTATCTATTTATCTATCTGTCTATCTAACACGTGGGCATAACTTGTTGCGCAACAGTGTTCTTGAAGTCTTGTGTACTCAGGTGCAGATGCTGCTGTTGGCAGCTCCGGATGCCGGACGTCCACCGCCGGAGATCGTGGGGGCCGCGTTGAAGGCCCTGTCTGAATCTCTGAATCTCGTTCCAAACCCTCAACTTTTGCAAAGAGCTAGGTGGATGTGTTTACGATTGTCGTCATTGGCATTCGTCATGTGGTGAGTATTGGTTAGCAGAATATATTCTATCGCTGTTGTGAACGACGTGGCGTCCACGGCATTTTTGTCGGTAGTGCTGGGGGCTGCGGTGGTGCCTTGGTCGTCGTGATGTTGCTGTATGTTGCTGTAATCATTGTCGCAATCATGACCCGGATGGTGCTGCTGGGGCCACTGCAGATCCGGAGGGCTAAGATATATGATGTGCACCTCGTGTACGAAACGTCCTCTCATACCTATGGCCCCCGGTTGAAAACATGAGGACAGAAGGACTTGGATTTCAAGCGTGTCGGGCATGCAGAGTCTGACGGGTTGCAGTTTCATGGCTCGGGTCCTTTGCTGCATTACGATGGTTTGTCCTCCAAACCTCAAGACTAATCCAGAGTACCCGACGGGTTTCGGCATCCGCACCAGTGAGTTGAGCCGAGCCAGGCAGCGGGAGTCCAGGCGACTGACGAGACGCTTGGTCGAACCAGGAATCCCGAACGAACAACTCGGGCTTGTGCTCGGGAACACGCTCGCAGTTGCATATTCGCCGGCGCATGAGAGCTAACCTCCTTTTTGAAAAACGTTCCAGAGCTACCGACCTCTCCGTTCACCCGGCTGCTGCGAGATCTATGCACCCTCAACACCCAGAAGCCAGATCAGACCGGCGTTCGAGCACTGAACCTGGGTTTGCGGATGTAGGATATGGCCTGGAATCAAGACATACAGCCCCATGACACCCTAAGCCTAAACTTTAAACACTCAACCATTCCCCGCTTCGATCTGCGACTTTTTCACTCTACAGTCCCGCATCCCACTTCCCTGCAGGCGCGAGGTTGCTAGAGGCACGTCTGTTTGGCATGTTTTCCTAAGCCAACACTCTTCAAAACCCTATCTATCCCCTTTGCCCCGAACCCTTCGTCTGAGTCGACAGCATGCCCAGGAACCTGATACGAGCTCTTCAGGAGGTCGCCTCTGAAGACGTCCGGGAGAGAAGTTTTTGAAATAGTGCTCGTCGGCCAACTTTAGGACTTAGGGCACTTGATGATAGCTAAGATTCGAGTTTGCATCCTATCGTGATGCTTTCGTGAAGGGGCAGTTTGGCATCCTTTTCTCCTCCTGTAGTACCAGTGAGGACAGTAAAGCACAGGCGATGGCAGGTCCGCTTAGTTTTTCAAAGGCCATGGACGACGGCATGGTGAGATTGCTTGCTTGAGCTACATGTAGCACTGACGCAATCGCTCTATGGCTCAGCCTTGGCATCGTGAGGTGCATCAGAATCACCCAGAAATGGAACTAAGTGCATGCAAACATGAGGAGGACATACGACAAAAGAAGCCGATTACATGTGTCAAGACATGAGCTAGCCCGGAGATCTTATACCAGCTGCAAGTAACACGCGTTTGCTTTGCTGAGGTCACATGCCAGACTGTTATCGGCTCGTGCCGAAATCTTTTGCTAGTTGTGCTGCACACCAATCACGGCGATTCTAACATCATGTGCACTTTATGGCTAGTAACTAGTAGATAACGCTAAATACTGTGTATACTACTCGAAAGCACTAATTGTGGATATTCTTTTTTCCCGCAAGGATGTGATGACCTTGACGCCCGGGGCCCAAATAGTTACCACAACTATTTTGAGGCTGTTTCTTTATCGTATAGTATGCCCCCAAGCCCTATCACAATTGTAGTGTTTTCTCGAATAATATACCCCCAAAACCCTATTATCATTATAGTGTTTTATCGCATAAATATACCCCAAAGCCCTATTATAATTATAGTATAACACACCCCCAAAACCCTAGTATAATTATATTCAGGGCCCATCGATTTCTTAGCACCCCTTTTTGGCACCGCTCCTGGCCCACCAGGCGGCCGGTGCTCGAGGAGGGAACCCCAAAAAGGAGGACTGCCGGGACACCTCCCAAGGCGGAGGGACAGGGGCCATCAAATCCTTGAGGATAGGAGTTCGTAAGGTTTTTTCTTTTTTCTTAATTGGGTTTAGCTCCTGTAAGGGAGTTCATAAGGTTGTTTTCTTTTTTTGTTCCAGTGGTTTAACTCCTATCAATAAGCGAGCTCCAATCAAGCCTGTGATAGGATTTTTAGAGCGCAATAGTCTACAAACTTGTATGTCTCAAACGACGAGCTTCGTTTGAGAAATTACGAGCCGAGCACCACTGGAATCGGTATCCAGATGGGGATCAAACTGCATCCAACTTCTTAATCTGATCTAATCTACAAGATTCATAGTTCTTAATGACAATATTGGTACAAGCAGCAATGTTGTTGGGTTTGGGTGTTTTGCAAGTTTTGATATGTACACACAATGCATGTGCATTCATTCATTCATCCATCCATTCACCCAGTCTTTCATTCATTCCATCCATCCATCCATCCATCCATGCATGCATTCATTCATTCATTTCATTCATCCATTTCATTCATTCAACACTCTCTCCTAAACTCTTTTACAGACCCTTTTGTGGACCCGGTATAAATCCTCGCGATGCCACCATATTGCGCAGGATCTAGACCGGGCTCGCACCGGCGCGCACTCCTACCAGGCATTGCCACGGGCCCAGGCCTCAGATTCCTGCCAGGGTGGATCCGTGCGACAAGGGTGGCTTCAATATTTGGGAGTTGAGAGTTTAGTGTTGAGGAGTGTTCGCTGGCACACAATCCAAGCCCATGCTGAAAAGGGTTTAGGGGTTGATCGGAAGGAGTTTGATATCGATCGGGCTCAGGGGTTTTGAAGACTGATTGCAGCAGTCATTCTCCTCAGAAGCATCAGAAGTACTTTTCCTTTCGTGTGGCAACCATGTGGCAGCATAACGGTCGCATTAATCATTAAGCAGGATAGCCGTGTTGGAAGTGGTAGTGGTAGTGATACTCGTGGTGGTAGTGGCGGTGGTAGTAGGTTTGGTGGTGGTGGCGGCAGTAGTATTAGCAGCAGCAGCAGCAGCAGCAGCAGCAGCAGGAGCAGCAGGAGCTGTCGCAGTTGTTGTAGTTGTGGCAAAGAACAGTGGTGAAATTATAAAATGAGAGAGGCTTGTCAGGTAAAAGGAAAGCATATGTCGTTGGTGCACCGAGAAGAAAGCCGGACTTGCATGATTCATGACGCATACGCGCCTGTCAGCTGTCAGTCGGCCCAGCCTGTCAAGACAAGGACATGGATGGCCAGCCGGGAAGCCCCATTGCTGGTGAGCCCGAGTCTTATCCCGGACCAAAGCTTTGGCAGCAGTCTTTGGCAAATCTTGTGAATTAAGGAAGTCCGATCGCCCAATGCCGGACACCCTCGCTGCACATGCTGTGTAGCTGCGGGCATCCCCGCACAACTTGCTTGGGGTATTATTCACTACTCGATCCGTTTCCTGTGCTCGCACGACTGCACACATGTTCGGGTTTGTGGCAGTGCAGTGGAGAGCTGGCAGGAGATCAAGTACAATACGCCTGCTCGGGCCTCGGGTTGCAGCTTCGGCTACAGTGTTTCCTGGGCCTCGGCAGGCTTCGCACATGGAGTTTCGATGTGGCCCCAGAAAACCTTGACCAGAAAGTGTGCTTTAGGCTGCTGGGGAACAATCAGCAGTCTGAGGGACCATCCTGATGCTGGCATCTCCAAAGATGCCAGCAGTTGGACCGGTGGGAATTCCCGGATCGCTGCTTTTGAGCAAAGCCTACTTGGGATCCTTGAAGGGTTGTTTGGGTTTTATCAGGGGCTTGTAGGTTTTCTTTAATCTCAACTCAACATGCCGTGCCCAGTCGACGCCCGCAATCACCTTCAACAATGCCCTGGCGCAGATGAAGAAGCCTGTCCAGGCGGGCCCCTAAACCGTAAACCCTAAACGCCTCCGCGATTGGCATGAGGCTATTGAACTGGTGTGTTTTCTGCTGGACACCTATATGGTGAGTAATGCTGGCTATGATCATCTAGCGAGCAATGAAGTGGGATTGAACCATGACCTCAAGTTTCAGCTTGATTGTGGCATCGAAGACAGATGTGACGTTGAGGGCATGTCTCTGCCTCACGACATGGTGGATGGACCCAGGGGCTGATGCAAATGGGCTCTGCTGACTTCTGAACAATAAAGGGCTTCAAACTGCGTGTGGGTTGCTTGATGTGGGAGGTGAATTCAGACTTGCAACATAGTGCATGTATCGTGAGGGAGAAGTGTATGCCGTGATGGCCCAGATTCGGAAAGCAGTGACAAAGGTGCTGCTGATGTTGCAGTGAATCTGCTGCTGTATCCTTGAAGGATACTGAGAAGTGTTAATGTTCCCGCCACATGTGCGTCGTCGTACCTGAACTCCTCGCCTAGGCATGTCCGTGTGTGAGTGCTGAAACGCCTCCGCCTCTGCGACTGAGTTTGGACACCGCCCCTTCTGGTTCAAATGCTCAGCCAAGCTTGCAAGGCCAAACCCTCGTTCGCAAAGGTACGTAGCTTCAATGCATAAACGAGGCCATATGTGAGTTTGGGCAGTTAGGGCATTTTCTCCCCCTTCTTCGCTGGGAGTTTAGGCTCGAGTTCGGATCAAGTCCCTGACGATGTGCGCCTGCCGTCTTCTGAAGAGAGAGATTCAGATGTGTTTCATTGCAACTCTCAGTAGCCTTTGGGGGCTGGTCACTGCCGTACCCCCAGCAGGACGGCACAGGCTCGCTGCAGTTCGTGGCCAGCTCGACTTATCGCAGGCTCTCTGCGGTTTCTGCGATGCAGCAGATTCGCAAAGCCCGCAAATTCTGGGGAGATCAGCACTGCACAGAAATCTGGGGAGGCTTTGTGGGACGCTTCGACTACCAAGGGCTGGGCGTCCACAACGCTGTGATCAACACTGAGACTTGCGACACCTTCCGCACGCAGGCCTTCCACTGCCAGTACCCAACATTACGGCACTCGTCATCGAAGTGAACGACTCTGTTTTCGGCACTGTCTTCGTCAACGACTCGTTCGTGACCGTTCGTGCACGGCTTGGAAGATCTGGTGTCGCCTGTATATATATATATAGGCGAAATCTCCAACCAGCAGCTGCAGAACGGCGTCATCAACGTGCGATCGATGCAACTTCGTCAACATCAGCGGGAGGCCGATCAACTTAAACCCCGGCTACCTCCTGAACGCCAAGGTGAAAATACGCGTCGGCTTGACGACTTGTCTGACCCGCTGACTGGCTATGCTGAACAGCCAAACTTGGGCGACTGGCGAAGGTGCCCTGTCGCTTCCCGATAAATATATAAATAAATATATATATATATACATACATACATAAATACATACAGAAAACAACATATATACATATACACACATACACACTCGATCATTCTGTACAGAGCATGTGAAATTCGTATTGCGCAAGACGCTCTCATCATTGTTTCGATCCATCACCTGTTGCACCCTGTCGGATGAGCCCGCATGCCGGCACTATGACCGACACGCACTTGGGTGACCGCGGCGGATTGAAGGACTAGTTTGAAGATGACCGGACTTCTCACGCTTTCTTATGGTTCTGTGTGAGTGATTGTGAGTGCGACGGATGTCTTCTACCGTGCATGACAATCCAAGAAGGGCCAAAGGAAGCCGACAGAGTATGGTCAACCTCGACGCATGCAGCGCGGAGCAAGAGCATCCCGTAGTCGTCGTGTAAGAGACCTGGAGACCTCATCTCGCAAGTCCGAGTTGTGTGAAGCCTCATAGCAGGCGATGCGGATACTGGAGAGCATGCGCATGGGTATGCCCGACGTGGCAATGAACCAGCGTATGACTGGCCTCAATGGCTTTGATCCTGACAGGCACGTCTAATTCTGGTCAGGATGTACAGGGCATATCATTTCAGGAGTTAGGCCCTCGAAGTTTAGGGTTTTGCTTTGCGTGTAGTTCTGTGGTCTAGGGTTCAAGGTTTAGCGCCCCAAGCCCGGATGCAACAGAGGGTTTTGGCTTCCCCTGTACCGTGGCCCCTCCTGGGTTCTCCAATTTAGGGTTCGGAGTTTCCCGAGACACTTTGAGATATCTGGAGGCTTCGGCTGAACGGCTGAACGTGTTGCGATGAGGCGAAGGTCACATGGCAAGCTTTCCAGACAGATCCTTCAGATTTGTCGGGTCATCCTTATAACTGCAAAGATCGAGACAGGTGTGCAGATGGAGGCACCTCACGAGCAAAGATTAGTGGCGCTTCCTTCTGCCGGAAGTAGCCATGAGAACGCTTGAATCACTAGATGACAGGAAGCCCTTGCAAGACCACCGGCCCCCTTGTCGTGCCCTGCCAGTTTCATTCCGCCGAAGACGCCGGAGGACATCTCGAAGGGGCTGAACGATATATCGCGGGATTGATATAAGCTGATAGTGTAGTGGCCTGGATGTGGGGCGCAGTTCGAACAGCGTCATGGGGCATAGTTTGAGGTAGACTCCACGAAGCATGACCATGAAGAGGTGTCGAGGAACGGTATTTGAAATGATTTTGGCTCGTATACAACTGGAGATGCTCCTTATTGCGTTTGCATGCACGCATGCATACATACATACATACATACCTTTGCATATATGTATGTATGTATACATACATATATATATATATGGCACGATGCACACACTCATTATACATACATGAACACACACACACACACACGTATGTTAAGAAATCTACCCCTTTTCCGGGGCTGAGGACGTGGTTCGGACGCTGATGCAGGTGGTGCCTGATGCTGGGTTACCGCCTCCCGAGGCCAAATCGTCCCAGTCCTGTGAACAACCGGGTCCAAGCAAATTCATGCAGCATGTCGTCTTTCCGGCTGCGACTGCAACTGTGTAAACAGCTGCGGCACTGTAGCATGGCCAACAGCACGCCAGCAAGGTTTGAGTTCATGAGCTGGGGTTCTGACTCTAGCACTTGCAGCACACCTCTTGCTGCCCTTTCGCGCGCAGATTGTTGGCGCAGCGCTGAAAGCTGCCGGCATTCCGGCCACCGAAGAGAATCTGGAAAGAGTTTTTGGGCTGCAGCTTGCGCAAGATTCTGATGTCGCCGGGGTGCCGGAAAGGTAAGTAAAGGTAAGTACAGTACTATAGGCACAGAATAGGCTGCGGCAGGAAGCAGTTTGCAGGGCAGCTTCATTCGCAACTCCTTGTCTTGTCAATGTCGCGACGGCACTTTGCCGATATCTTGAGCCTCCTTCATCGAATGCATGAAATCGGCTTCCAACTGCAACCTGTTTGATAACTGCATTATGATGCCAAAACGCTTTGTCTGAAGCGCCAGCATACACCCTATACCACACACTGCTGGGTCCAACTCGGCTGGACACGGGGGTAAGTAAGCAGGACGCTAGAATCACTGGAACCCCACTTATTTTCCGCGGGGCTGCGCACGCCAGCTAGAAGTATGAAAGCAAGGGGTGCAAAGCTTTCGGCTCCCGCTGAGGCGCTCAAAGCAGTGGGCGGTAGCTCCAAACCCAGCAGCCAGGAGAAGAGCGAGACAGAGAGACAGAGAGAGACAGAAGATTGTGCACTTAGGGGCTTCATAGTCCCTGAAGCCTTAATACAGGTCGATTCCTGCTGATGGGCCACGTGATGTTCTCAACAGAAGAACATATTCTCGCTCAAGGGAGCCGGGGGACCGATCGCGTTCTTGTGCCCTGTCAGAACCCATGTGGCGCACGATAGGGGGATGAGTGCTATTGTATGCATGTGTTGCTGTTCGTTTGTCTCTGCAGGTAGCATCCCCTCAGTTCAAGTCACCACGAAGCATCTAGACATGTCCTGTATGTGACACAGCACACTTGATTGTTTGTTGCCCAGCTTTGAAGTGGTCTCTCGTACACTTGATTGGGGGACAACGGACAAGCTGTGCTGGTACTTTCAGGTTCTATCAACTTTCATGCTGGTCGCTATTTGCTCATGCTTTCATGTTGGTCGCTATCGCTACTTGCTCATGGCCGTCTCTCTGACAGTATGTCACATGTACTGACCTTCGTTTTCTGCGATGTCACGGGGTTTTTTTCGAACATCGCATGAGTGCTGTGGAGGGGGATGAAACACCATTCCTTTTGCTGTGATACTGAAGTACCCTCTGCTGTTGGTTCTTATGTTTCAGTTTGTCTTGGACAAGAGGCTACGCATCACAGAGACCTCCATCATGCGGGGGAACGAAATGTTTTCTTGTTCTCTGCTGCTTTCCCTCCAATGCCCCAGATATATTGGGGGGGGCCTTGTGCCCGGCGGCTTGAGCAAAGCCCTCAAGCCTGAAGGAAGAATTGACCCGAAGGAAGAGAGAGAGTAGAGCGCGCGGAGGCGACGTGCCAGTGCTTGCCTCTGCATGTAATCTGCGCCAGAAGGATTAAGGAGTATCGAAGTTGGAACTATAGGCGCAGCCTGTTTGAAAGCGCGGCTATGAATCAAATACATGGGCCAGCGGTAGCGTGGCAAAAGGAGAGCACGATGTTTGTAATTGTTTCGCACGGGGGGCGGGTTGGGCCGGAGTGTGCAGCGAGAGACACTATTCGGTTCGCGTAAAGCGCGGGGGCGTGTTCAGATGGCTTGTGTTTCATCGGGAGAGAGCCCCGGGCCTAATCTCACGAAGCAGACTACTAGAGCGGGACACAGATAGACCCTGAAGGGGGGTGGGGCAGTTCGGGTTAATTTCTTTGGCCTGCCGGTGACTCGGTGACTAATTCTGTGCATGTTCTGTTATTGAGGTGACGATGTGTTCATCAGTGTTGGGCCACGTTTTGAGAACATCAGCCTGGTTTGTTTCTTGCTTGCTCATCTTGTCATCCCTCGAGGACATGACTGCAGCAAGGGCTGCTGCTGCGCAGTACAGCGCGTCAGGTCCGGGCGATGGTTCCGCGCTTGCATAGAATTGGGGCTGAAAGGGCTTGCTGCATGGAGCTTGGGTGAAGTTATGGTTCGAAGACCCAAAAGATCCCCAAAGTATATCCCAAAGGCACCCTCTAATCTAGCCGGATCTAGCCTGAATGCCCCTTCATAAGGAGCATGAGATGCCAAGATCCCTACTAAAGGTTTAGGCCGGCGTACACGGCCTGATCCTTCTAGAGTTCCCACCGGGTCATGTGGGACATCATCGAGGCTTTGAGGCTCGGAAGTCGTTTGCCTCCGCCTTCTGACACGAGAAACCCAAGGCTACCCGTCCTTTCCGGATGCTCCCATCATGGGAACGGGAACCAGCGCCGGCAGCAGGGCGAAGGCGCCCTCTACAAAGGCACCAGGGTTTCAAAGGGAGCCGGTGGTTTTGAGAATGGTGTTGTGTCTTTGGCATTGTCTACCAGGTTGTCCTGTATCACCCATTATCCAGTGCAGGGTATATGTTAAGCTATACACTGTTGAAAATTCCCGATTGCATATCATATAGCTTCCACGGAACCTAACAGCCAAAGAGGAGGACCCCGGAGTGATGACCCCCAGAGCAAGCCCCAGAGCAAGCTCCCACGAGCCAATGAACCACAGCCGTGGCCCCATTCCCAAAGTCAAAGATGCAAGGTGGTATGAGCAAAGACCCTTCAGCAAAAAAAAATTCAGAAATTCAATCCACGAGAAAACGCAAGAGTTGCATTCCAACCACATCTCAGTCAATGTCGAAAAAAGGCAGGGCAACGACAAGAGCGTCAACAGTCGTATGAGCGGTAGCCGTGCTTCTCAACAGTGTAAGCTGCCGGCAGCGAGCAGAGCCGCTGGGATCACTCTCCTTGCTTGAATGAAGGAACCACCTTAGCATGGCACTTGGGCCCGAGCTTGGGTACTCAGCGAGCCCAGATGCAAGTCGTACATGTGACGTCGGGATTCCTTCCGACAAGAGTGAAAGAACCGTCGACTATTCTTTCACGTATCGCTTACAGGATTCAAAGCATGTCAGTCTGGCGTCCGTCGGTGGTATGCTGTCGGTGCGTGTGCCGAACTCCAACCACGAGTCTTGCGTCGCCCTGAGCCTGGCAGGCATCCGGAGGAGGACTGGGTGCAAGACAGGGCTCTGTTCCGAAGCTTGTTGGGTGCGGTGGCAGCGGAGGAAGCAAAACGCGGAACAGCAGAAGTGTATGCCCTGTACATACATAGCTGAAGGAACAGCACGAAGTCTTAGCAGACTCGTTCCGTGCAGGTTGATGGTCAGACAGAGGTTTCCGCATGCTTCATGTTATCAACTCCTGGCTCGCGACATGCCCACAGAACGTCGCGCCCCGGGCAGAGACCACAAAAGCCAGGAAGCGAGGCGCGGCCAGAAGATCTCATGAAGGCGCCCCGACATTTGCAGGGAGTGTTTGGCAGGATCTGTAGACACATGGGGACCCACATGCGCACATGCATACATACAAACAAACAAACATACATACGTACATACATACACAAATACATACATTCCTTGACCTACATACATAATCATACATACCTCTTTTACCTGCACATGATCTCTCGGATACACATAAATATATATATATATATGTGTGTGTGTGTATATATATGTAGATATACATATGTACAGAGATAGGCATACATACCTCATTATATATATATATACATACATGCGTACGTCCGCCCCACACACACATACATACATACATACATACATACATACATGCATGAACACATGCGTAAGTACATGCCTAAATGCCTACATGCCGACATACCGACGTTCGTACATGCACAGATGCAGACTGGCATACCTACATAGCTACATGCATGCTTCACATACAGAGTTATGTCACGTCACGTTGCATTACATCGAATTGAAGTGCATTGCAGTTCCGTACTTCACACATTACATGCATCACGGTTTCTTTCCATTTCATGCAGTGTCATTACAGACATGCAGACAGACATGCGTACATACAGGTATATGTGTATACATATATATATATACACACACGTATCTCTGTACATATTGCAGTCATATTGCATACATATACATACATGCATAGATACATACATACATACATACATACATACATACATAAGCACCTGCACACCTACATGGTAGAAATGTTTTTATTGCGCCTTCAGCCGTGTTCTGACAAACTTGAGAGCCCTGACGATTCAAAGGACCGACGGCGCAACCCAAAGATGCTTTATGCATCTTCCGCTCTAACTTTTCCGTGCACAGAGACAGACAGACAGACAGCAGACAGACAGATACCGGTTCGATCGGTTCCGATATGTTACCGATTGTGCAGCGATAGGGTATGGGTAGTATTGCTTAGTAACGGTTCGGTTCGGTGTCGATACAAGGACTCGAGCCTGAGACAGACAGACAGAGATAGAGATGGAGAGAGAGGGGTTGATATACACATGTTCACACGACGATCGGTTTGGCTTTGTCTGAATCTCATATCTGCATGCACCTCTGAATGCACCTGGACATGTACCTGTATATAGTACAACTGCCAACGTTTAGTTTCAAGCATATATACGTTTATGTATATATATATATATATGTATGTATGTATGTATGTGTGTATGTATGCACAGGCTATAAATCAATCTATCTATTGATCTATCCATCTACCAGGCCATACAGCTATCTAGTTATCTGCCCATCTGTCTATGTGTCTGTCTATCTATCTGTGTGGATATATATGTATATGTATGTATACATATACATATACATATACATATACAAATACATATACATATACATATACATATACATATACATACACATGCATAAGGGTTGTGCACCAAGACCAAGAAGACCCAGAACCCCAGTACCGTTGCTCCCGTTGCAACCACTTAATCCCGGGCCCCTTGCACGGAAATCGGGTGCACGAAAACCGTGGTTCCTATTTGCAGCTATGGGCAGGGTTGTGCTGAATTACTACCCGATGGTTACACGGGCAGTAACGCATGAACTCAGACCTGGCCTAGTCTACGAGACCTGCCCAGGCCCTCCTGCAAGCAGCACCCGGGTTGGGCCAGCCCCCACCAGAAGTGGTGGGGCTCGCGCTCAAGCAGGCCGGACTTGCTTGGTTCCTTTGATACAGCTGCATGCTTCGGGCCCTACTACTGCAAGATGACGGCTGTGCATTGAAGTCCGCGTTTGTTTTAGGGGTCTTTGTCGAAGAGATTTTATCTTCCGACACTTCTGTTTACAAGGACAATGAAACGGAAGATTCCAGAAGTGCTGCAGCTGAGAGCACCAAGAAGTGCTGAGGCCAGTGTGGCAAACCTCAGCAGATGTTGCTACTCGTTTGGTGAAGTGTGTTCTCGGATGGACTGTTGTTGAAAACGAAGAGTCAGGAAGGCACTAGAATATGTAGGCCTCTGTTTGGAAAGCTAGCACGCTGGACTCTCCGAAGAGTCACTTGTTCAGGCGACTGACTGACTGACTGACTGACTGACTGACTGACTGACTGACTGACATGTTGGGTATATTTGGATATTGATATGACATGATGTCAATGGTGCCATCATCTTGGCTCAAGAGCTGTGCATTGTCGAGCGGTGCCGGTGGCGCTGTGGAGGCACTGTGGCTGTCACTATGGCAGTGGAGTCTCTGCCTTGGACTACTGGCACCTCCCCCACGTCCAAGACGGAGCTGGATCCGGTAACAGGGCGACCGCTACTCAGCGCAAGCGTTAACCTGGACTTGAAGATGGACATTGCTGGACTCGTTGAACTTCTCGTCAATGTGTCAAAGGTGCAGGATGTCCCTCAAGAAAGCAAGCCTAAGCCGAAGCCCACGGAGAGTAACGACGAGACCACGAAGGGGAAAAGCATGGAGGAAGCCGAAGAGCCGACCCCGAATTCCGGGCCGGTGCCATCTTCCGAGCGGCCCAAGGAGGGCCCGGAGCAGCGGACCTGGACATGGGAGGATCCCATGTACGAAGTATGAAGCGCCGAAGGTCAAGTGGCAGAGAAGCGACTTCGAGGAGAGCGGCTTGTTGCACTGGAGTCCGAACAGAAGAAGGCGTTTATGGAGATGGTGTTCGAGCCGCTCAGGGTGCCCGAGCGAATAGGGATCACTGCGGCCGCCATTTCCAAGGAAGCAGACTTGACCCGTTTCCCACCAAGTCAGGACACCGCCAGCCGCGAGATGCTGGCCAGCCCTGCGGCGCCAGCAGCAGCAAAAGAGTCTAGGCCGAGTTCCGACGGTGCGGCACCTCTGAGGACCCCTTTGACGATCAAGAGGACACGGTCTATCCGGTATCGCCGGGGTGCAAACCACAATGACCAGCGATCATGGATGATGAGAAAGAAGCTTGGGGCGATTTGAGCACGGCAGGTCGCATCCTGCGTGCTGTCATCCGCCTGCTGTCGTGGACTCCCAGGTGTGCCTTGCGACGGAAAACAGGCCGACTTGCCAAAGGATTGTCGTCGGCGTGGTACTGGTTGCGGTGGTGGTGATAGCAGTGGTCCAAACGGATCTGACTTCTCAATATGTGTGCATGTTAGAATCCAGCGTCCCTCGCGATCCGGCCCCCAAGCCCTGAACCCGAAACCCGGCAGCATGACTCGCGGTGCCGTGATGGTTTTGTAGTTGTAGCCTAGTATTTTAGGGCGATATTGGGTATGAACTATGAACCCTGAAAGACCTACCTTTTTGGGGCTCCTGATCAGGGTTTCCATTTCTAAGTCCTGACAGAGGTAGGTTTTCTTAGGGTCGTGGTCGGTGGTTGGTGGTAGCCGCCGCCGTCGTCGTCGTGGTGGTGGTGGCGGTGGCGGTGGCGGTGGCGGGCGGCGGCGGCGGGGGTTGGTGGTGGTGGTGGTGGTGGCGGTGGTGATGTAGCAGTGGTCGTCGTCATCATTGCCGTTGTCGCAGTCGTCATTGTCGTTGTCGGAGCAGCAGCAGCGGTAGATCAAGAGAAGGACAAGACAAAGTTCAGTTCCGGCATTCATTCAACAAGTGCCGTTTTACATAAGAGGCTTGAAAAAGGCCGTTTGGCACGCTAGTGCTGGTAAGTCCCTCATGCTGTGCTTCAACTGCAGGCGAAAGTCTCGATCAATGAGGACACTTGGCCGTTTCTGGATCTCAGAGGTGTATGATGCTTGAGATTGGAGTAGCTTTGGACCTCTCACGAAGTTCCTGGAAGGGCGCTGTTTGGCGACTTGTGTGTCTGTGTGTGTTGTGGTCTTAGGGGTGGCGTCAGGTCGGCAGCTCTGCCATGCTCCTACTGGTAGCTTATGAGGGGCTGATATATTTCGGCCCGACATGTACATGCAGGGACGTGCCCCAACAAGCGTGCGTAGGATGTGGTGATCCGAGCCCTACGAGCTGCCGGTGACAAGCACCCCAATGCAAACTCGATCCGGACTGCCTTGGCGGCTGCGCACCCTGGCTGTGTCACGCTTTCCGAGTTTTTTGATCTGGAGTTAACAAAGGTTTTGTTCAGGCTTCCGGGTTCGGCATATTCGTTTCTTGGAGCATGCAGGCCTTCAGCATCTTTTCAAGCTGCTATACAGGAGCATACAACAGTGGCTAGTGGCATCAGCAAGCTTATCATGACAATATCAGTACTCCACTTGCCACGAGCATTTCCAGCAGCTATAGTCTGGATGCAGAAAAACGGAATCATGCTGTCGGTGTGAGCATCGTCATCTTCATCGCACCAACAACCCAGCAACCTTCACATCACAAGGCCTCACTGAAGATGGCAACATGACTTCAACAGGTTCATCCCGCCCCCTAACATTAAACGGGGGGGCCACCCCCCAATAAAATCTCGGAAAGTATGTGCTGTATTAGGGGTTATTTTTATCTCGACTGCCACTTTTGAGGGATCGTGCTCTTGCTCCTGCTCTGGCTCTTGCTCCCGTGCTGGCGTTTGCTCCTGCTTCTGCTGCGTCTCTTGCGCCTGCTCCCTCCTGCCCTTGTTCTAACTCCCTCTCTTGCTTTTGCTATTACTGTGCCCTACGGGTATTTGGAGCCTCGACACCCTCCCACCCCCCCCCCAATTCAGAACAGGTTTTAAAGGGCAGGATGATTTCGGTAGGATTCGCCCCAATGTGCTTTGATTATTAGGGGTGTGTTTAATAAAAGGGTGAGCGATTAGTGGAAAACGAGCCGAGACATGTTGACAACAAATTGCGCCTGCATGTCATGGCATGTGACCCGAAGCCTCCGTTTCAGGCAGGATGACGAATGACATTCCAAGAGTCGCCACCTGGAGACCCATTGGAGGCTGTGAGTAGAGATCGCCAATCCGACGTCTCAGAGGCACCCGGCACTGTCCTTGTGCCCGGAGTCCCCGTCATCAGCATCTAATCGAAGAAGATCTGCGGCACGCCGCCGCGATCATTATCTTACACTTTAAGCAGTGTGACCACCGGGTTGTATGACCGCACGCAGTGACAAAATGACGCTATTGACATTGTGATTGCGTGCGCCACACCGCATGTTCGGATTGGCTTTTTGGCTGGATGTCTGAGCCGCTGTTATGACAGCTCAGAAGAAGCGATATCCGGATGCACAACGATTAGATCCAACTACGGCGCCATGTCCTGCGATTCAGCCAGCAAGCCTCTTGAGTGTTTACAGCAAACGGCAAGGATCCCCGCCCACCCACACACACACACACACACTCTCGCTCGAAAAACGATGGCCTATAAACCCACCTCCATCGATTTCGCCAACTTCAGTAGCTCAAGCTGTGACATGCACTTCGCAATGCTGCTTGAATTCTCACTCCCGCGAGCTACTGAACTCGCAACTTCCCAACCTAACCCCACAGCTTACTCCTCTAGATCCTTGGCACCACTTCACCCTACCTGCCCTTGGCTGCACGGGCACGTGCGTAACATGCAATGGCTCTGGCTGCTGCCGGGCTTAGTCGCCGGGATCGCTCCCATTGGGAGCCCCCTGGGACCCTCAGGCAGGCAGGGGTCAGGTTCAGAAATCTTCCCGAGCTCTCATGTGTTCTGTAGTCACTGTAGTCGCTACGTGTGAATGGATGATTTCGGAAATCTGAGTTCTCAAATAGGGCGCAGAACGCAAACAAGGCGGCTATAAGCATGCAGAACACATCGGAACTTCTCCTTGCTCCAACAGCAGGTTTGCACAGATAGTTTTTTTTTGTATGGTCATGTCCAACTCAGACGTATGGTATCCTCTCCGCAGGGTCCCTTGATTGCTAGCTAGCCTTTTCTTGGAGCCAGATGTGCTGCACCAGGCTCCCGCCCAGGAGCGCGCGGATCTGCGGTGCATTTCACGTTGCTTCCCCGATTTAGCACGGGGGTTTAGAATCCTTAGAAACGACTTTTGAGATTTACGTTCGTTGTCTTAGGGGCTCGGGTCGGGCTCTCGCTGTAAGCTTCAACTAGTACTCATCGTTCAGTGTTGACGCGTTTGCCATGGTGTATAGGGGCTTCAATACGCGGAATGGTGGAACAGTGGAATTAGGAGGTTTGCGAAAAGCAGTAGATAAGCGGTTCCGGTTTCTCGCCTTCGAAATGTGAGGCATATTGCACGGCATGGCACACTGCAAGATGAGGCTAATATGGAACAGGTGTTAACTTTGAACCCTTCTTGTTGCCAATGAAGCTAGAGCTAGGCACACAGCTTAAGTAGTCGGTAGCGGCTTCATGTCATGTTCATGGTTCACACTTTGAGCCCTAAACTCTAAACCCTAAAGCGCTGGTTTCACGCCGACCTGTACCCACGAACCTAAAGCCTTAAATACTCTTGCCTGTCCTCCAAACAGGTTCCCTTTGGTGCGCTGGGTCAGACAATACTGCGACTTGCTGCAAGACCCGGTTTGGTGGGGTTTAAGGCCTAGGTGGTGATACTGTTTACGGCCAAAGGTAGGGTTCTTTCACTTGCAGGCACTTCTGTGACTACGAGTGGCCTGATCAGCATGCTTAACATCACTGCTGCTTTTATGTCTATAGCACCTGACTGTGGCAAGCCTTTTGCCTCGGGGCCTACGGCGGGGAGCTTGGGCGTTGGGGCTCTGGGTCTTGGGGCAATGGCGCTGAGGAGGCCCGGAGAGTCGAACAATGTTGGTAATTCGTTGGTTGAAGCTTGTGTTAGTGGAGGCTAGGAGAGATCGTTGAGGCCCATTGCTTCTATCTGGGTGACTTCACTCGGATCTCAGCTGGGGGATATCCCCAGTGCTTAGGCAGATTGACAAGGCGTTGCCTTTTAGTGCCTGAAAAACCTGGACCGGGCACAATCCTTTAAGGTGACCTGGCCAACTATCCGGGAGCTGTGCCGGAGGAGGAGGCGGCATCTCTTGGGCAGCTGTGGGTACAAGAAAAACTGGAGTGGAAGGTGATGGCATGCCAGAGTGAGACTGTGAACAGCAAGAACAAGATGCGGTAGTGAGAGCAGTCACAATCAGCAGTCGCTGTAGTAAGACATGTATATGTATGTAAGTAGGTAGGCAGGCAGGCAGGCAGGCAGGTAGGTAGGTAGGTAGGTTGCTTGGTTTGGTAGCTTAGGCAGCTTAGGTAGCTTAGGCAGCTGCGGGAGCTTAGGTAGCTTAGGTAGCTTGGGTAGCTTAGGTAGCTTGGGTAGCTTAGGTAGCTTAGGTAGCTTAGGTAGCTTAGGTAGCTTGGGTAGCTTGGGTAGCTTGGGTAGCTTAGGTAGCTTAGGTAGCTTAGGCAGGTCAGGTAGGTTAGGTAGGTTAGGCAGGTAGGCAGGTAGGCAGGTAGGCAGTTAGGCAGTAGGCAGGTAGGCAGGCAGGCAGGTAGGCAGGTAGGCAGGTGTGGGTATGTGTATGTGTGTGTGTGTGTGTGTATATATATATATGTATGTCCGTCCGTCCGTCCGTCCGTCGGTCGGTCGGTCGGTCGGTCGGGCGGGCGGGCGGTCGGTCGGTCGGTCGGTCGGTCGGTCGGTAGGTAGGTAGGTAGGTAGGTAGGTAGGATGTATGTA